GACAATAAATCATCCTTTAATGTATTTAATTCGCTTTGAAACTTACTAGTGTTTTCCATTTGTACTTCTTGCCACTGTTGTTGACTGTCCTGTAGTTGTTGGAGACTTTCTTCCTGTTTCCTTTATTGTTCCAGTTGCCACTGCTGTAATCTCTCTTCTTGTTTCTTTTCTCGTTCTTCTTGATTCTTTTCTTTTTCCTCCAACAACTGCTGTAATTTCTCTTCTTATTTATTTTGCTGTTCGAGCTGCCACTGTTGCAGGTTTTCTTACAACTGCTGTTGTCTCTCTTCTTGTTTATTTTCTCGTTCTTCTTGTTTCTTTTCTTTTTTTCTCCAACAACTGCTGCAATCTCTCTTCTTGTTTATTTTGCTGTTCGAGCTGCCAATGTTGCAGGTTTTCTTGCAACTGATGTTGTCTCTCTTATTGTTTCTTTTCTTGTTATTGCTGCCGTCAACTCTGCTAAGCTGTAGTTTGATTTGCCACTTCTCGTTTCCACTTTTTTTTTCTTTTCCGTCCCACTTCTGACACCAATTTGTTACGTCTCTGGTCGTTAGTTAATTTTCCGTATAATTTCTTTCCGATGAAACCTCAGCGACACAGATCCTTTCTTAAATAAAACTAGTTTATTCTTTCTCAATACAACTTTGAAATTCACTTAATTTCCACGGTCACGCTATAACAAACGCTATAACTCACAAAGAACGACTCACGTGCTCGACCCAACTGTCAGTCTCTATCTGTCTGCAGTTCAACTACATTGTTGCCGTCAGTTCTTGGCGGTCTTATATACAAGAATACCGAAAATCTAGTAAACACTCGAGGCTTCACGAACCTTCGAGAATATGACGTGTTACTAGAGTCACGTGACCCCCGCTGTCGTAACAATACTTATGGTATGAATATTATGGGTAAAAAAAATTTAGAATAAAAAATCAAATGTAAAATCGAAAAATTAATTTTAGCTTATTATTGTATAAGTTGTGATGATACTATGGATGTCAGATCTCCAAATACATGAGTAAATAAGATTTAAATCGTTCCTCATAAGACTTTAAAGTATGTACATTCATACGTTGGTCCAGAAAATCAATTAAAGAGTAGAATATGAAATCCTACAACCCTATTGTTTTCGACATTCAATATGTTTTCTGTGAATATTGATTCTATATAATTTCGAAAGGTGGACCTTTATTCATAAGGGATAAATTTTCTGTTTGCTCCTAATGAAGAAAGGTCCACCTTTCGAAAGTATATAGAATCAATATTCAGGGAAAACATATTGAATTATTTTAAACTATTGTAATGTATTTGGATCTTGCAAGATACTTATGGCATAATTATTATTGATTGAAGTATTATAATGTTTGTATTAACGTAGATTTTACTTTGTTTTTTATATCCACCTATAATTCCCTCCGGTGGGGCAGCGGTAAGTTTACGGACTAATAACGCTAAAATCAGCGGTTTTATTTCCCATGGCGGACACAGCAATTAGCCCAATGTGGCTTTGCTTTAAAACACCCAATCAACCACCTTTAATATTCGATATTATAGAAGCAAATCATAATAGCATATTTTTAATCAGAGTAGTACAACAGATGATCAAGCAAATATATAATACAAACTTATTAAGTGTAAAATAGTTTGTTTTTATATATGCTAATATAGCGATAGTTCGACAAAGATGACATATGTTAACAGTTTGATTTGTTTGTTTGTAGCTAAGGGCAAAGCTACACAATGGGCTATCATAATTTGATTCACGTTACATTCTCGAATACCATATTCATGTTTAATTTATGTATTCATATGTCTTGTTGCATAGTAGTTTCGTATGGTGTATCCGGGTGAGCACGTTTTGGTGTGACGGGGATATGAACCCGCGACCTGCAGATTGCGAGTCGAGTGCCTCTTGTTGCATTTAATTAATAAACATAAAACAACCTATAAACCATTATTATTTATTATTGCAAAACGAAGATATGTTGCTACGTGTTTTGACCACTTTCATTCGGGTCAAAATCATCAGGCCTTATTATGACCGAACAAATGTAGCAACATATCTTTGTTTCCTAACAATAAATGATTGTGGTTCAAAAGGTATATTTTATTAATATGCATGCTTATCTTGAGAATGAAAGTTTTTGTATATGTGAAAAGTTTCAGTTTATAAACATTGCTAAGTAAGTGTTGTATTTCATTTGGTAAGTAGTTACCTCCTTAAACAGATTATTATTTAATCAATGTCACGTTCTTAGCGACGCTGGTGAATAAGTTTCTTTGTTTTAGATCAAAGCTCCATTAGGCACTGCTGTTTCCACCGCGGTGGATTGAACTCCGGACTTTAGCGTTGTAAGTCCGTAGACTTACCGTTTGCCCATGAAAAAGAAATGTCCTTTCGGAAGCGTTCGGGTTGTAGGGTATTGTATTTTTGTGTTAAATTAATTTCTTGAATCTACGTGTTTTCCTAACATCATGCATACAGGGTGTAGTTTTAAGTGGTCATAATGGACCGTATACAGGGTAATTATAAAACTCCATATTTAAAATTACTATTTTAAAATGTACTTTTTGTATTGGAATAAAATTTCACCAAAGCTATGTTGATAATAACGAATCACAGTTTTACTTAGGAAAGTTTAGAAATTGTAAATATTTTTTCTTTGTTGTTGTTTTTTTTTCAAAACTATATCCCACTCGATGCATAAATTGATTTTTATGTAACTTTGCATTGTTTTAACTTCTCTTCTTTCTCTTTCAACAATATATAATTGGTAATATTAATAAAATGTGCGCCTACATACAGAATATTGCGGAGATCAATGATCATTGTCCAATATAAATGAAGTTTGTAGTAACTTTGTTTAATTATGCTTGATATGCTAACTGAGGATGACAGAAGGCATGTTAAGCACCTACTGT